GCTTCTCCCTCTGCCTCTCCCCCTGCTTGTGTTCCCTCTCTCGCTGTGACTCTCTGTCAAATAAATAAATAAAATCTTTAAAAAAAAAAAAAAAATTAAGCGCTAAAAATTAATGAAGTGCATACATCATGCATTTTTATCCCCCACCCCAAACCTGGGCCTAAACAAGAATTATATTTTCTGACACAAGTAATCAGAATATATTCTATCTCTCTCTAATAGATAAAGAAAAAGGTGAGAGTCTTTCTTCCACACCTCTTCTGGCAGCCATTCTCCTGTAAATCCATAGGAGTCTCCTTTACTTGAATTGTTTTTTAAACTCTTCCACATCAAACCACTGTGAAAATCTTATGAAAACTTTGAATCCTCTCTACACATACACAAAAATTCAAATACACAAATTCATAGAAAAATTACAATTTGAGAGGTTTCACATTTCCCAACCCAAATGAAGCCTAGTGCAGTCCCAAAATCCCTGATCAGGTTAGCCCACTTTTAATCCCAGAGTTGGAAAAGTTAACTTTTAATTTCAGGTCTGTTTTGCCATTTCTGACTTTTCTCAGTCCTCTGCTCTGATTAATGTAATGAGTGGTCAGTAACCCCCTATGTCACCAATATGAACCATCAATTTTTAGAAAACTAGTATAGTTTTTATAGAATGCATGTAATGTCAATGCTGTAGTGAGCTCTCTGTGACTGGGTTGAAGGAGGTAAAATAGTGATGTATTCAGGGGAAAGCTAGGAAATGGAAGATTTTCACATCTGATAGCATGGCTGTGTGAATTAGGATGTGAGCTGCTGAAAGTACAGGAGTGGGGAGAAGATGAAACACTTGCGGAGGGTGGGGAGTAATAGCCGAAGGAAAGTACAAGTAGGTGGTCACCAAAGAAGGCAAGTCAAAAGACTTGCAGGGTGCCATTGATTGCCTGGCAGAACATGGGGAGCCATTTATTTTTAGTGGTATCAGTCTGCACATTGGCTTGTTTTATTGTCCTTATCTTATAAATGAGGGAAATGTGTATCCTAGCTTTGACAAGTTCTAGAATTTTCAAAAACAGGTATAAGCTATACTTGATCATCCTGGCGTAGCAGCTAAATAAGATGCTTTTATTTTCCTACTAAATCATTTTGTTTATGGAAAATTATTTTTCTAAGCTTTTAAGATATGTGCTTCCTAAAAACAATTCGAAATGCATTAATTAGTTTCCTGGCTATTCATGATTCCTACTCATAAAATCTCTAAGGATTCAGTCAAGTATCAAATGTTAAATTTGTCACAATATATTGCAGATTGAATAAAGAACATTTAGTATTCATTTTGTGGAGTTTTTTTCTTTCTGATAAAGCTTAGATGATCCATCTCTTCCCCCTAGTTTACTGAAATCAAACAGTTGGCCTGGAAAATCTAGGTTTTGTTAGGCTCAAACCTAAACTATGCCTTATTTTGTACAATACAGTACTGAGTGTGGTGCCCGTTGGCCACCAGAGGGCACTTTGTAGCCTGCCTTCTGTTGCAGTGACAGCACTTTGTGTCTCTTTTTTTAATATTCATACGGTATTTCATCATATTACTTTGTATTTTTTCATCATTTCATTTTGAATTTTTCACTTTTTTTCCTGTCACAGAATAGTTACATAAATTCAGTACATGGATTATCATGAAAATCATAATTGATTTTCAGTTCATTAAACTTAAATTAACTTCTCTAGTCTTTTTTTATAGTAGCATCAAGTCAGATGGTTATCATTTTTTATGATGTCCTGCCCATTGATTTAATTATTTTAACATTATTGACATTTAACGCAGGATAGACGTTTATTCTGTTGCTAATAGTATATCTTGCCGATAAGTATATCATTGAACAAATGAAAGATACAATATTAGTTCAACAAATGGAAATAACAGGCACTTTTTCTCTAATGAAAAATGCTATAGTTAACCCATCAGAAGCCTATTTATGCCTCTTATACGCCCTCCATTGGCCATATTGCGGGCTTTTAGAATATGGTGTAGGTGAGTATCTGAGGTAGGAAATGTACCACCATACCTCTCACTCTCCTCATATCGTGTCATCTCTGACAGGACAAATCAGTAATTCTTCATTCAGCCTTTTAGTTCATTGTGTTCTATTACGACAGCTTTAATAAACAGGCCTAGAGGATTGCCATTCAAAAGCACTGGATACCAAGGAAATACCATCAGAAAGAACACAGAAGCCTATCTTCTGTTGTTTGGGTGAGAAGACCAAGGTTGTTTAGTGTTCAGATGTTGTAAAGATAGGAAAATAAAGCAATGAGAACTTTTTTTTTTAAGTCATTCAGCTCTGAGCAAAGCCACTGTGCTAAAATCTTCATTTTTTATTGACAGGAACAACATGCCAGAGTTCCACAAGTTAAGAACAAAGTTGGTAAAGAAGAAAGGAACACGGGCATATGCCTGCCAATGTAGCTGGAGAACTATTGAAGATCTGACTGACCTTCAGACCGATCATCAGCTTCGTTGGGTTTGTGGTAAACATTAAGGATGCAGACTTTTCGTATTCAGACAAATGTATACAATGAGAGCAGTCTCCAGTAATTATCAACATATTTAGAAAGAGGTACGAAGCAGTATCATGCCCTTTGGAAAAAGACAGGAAATTTCATTTAATGACTATATAGTATAGATTTTCAAAGACCTAATGGACTTGAGAAGATAATGTGCTTTAACATTTTGGAATTATCTCTTTTTGATGTATGGGCATTTCACTTAGTAAGTAAGGTAGCAAGTTATCCTAATTCTTTGCTAGCCTATCTCCTGTTAAATGGAAGTTTTATTATGGAGTTTCATACAAATATATAGCCATTCATTAGCAACTGCAGTATTAGTCACTGCTAATACACTTAGCTAAATATTCCTTATTTACAACATTTAAAGGGGATAAAGCCAGCCAGTGCAGAGAGGTCACTGAGGGGTGTATATAGCATCTCCTCTGGTCAGATCTGTTGTTGCCAAAGATCAGAATTTAGACATGGCAGAAACCATGTGATCAGTGGCTAACTGAAGGATTTGGGGGAGCACAGGTTTATTGTAAATGAAAACACTGCCTATATTGACCTTACCTCAGTAACTCCAAATGATATTATGCACAATAATGATAAGTATATATTCTAGTTTTAGCTTATTTCTTCTCCTTATGTTCATTTAGATATCAAAAGTTAGTTTGCTAGTTTAGTAAATATTCATTTATATATAAAAAAATGTGTTGGTGTCCCTATAATCATAAGGAAAATCCTAATATAGATAGATCATTATTGGATTTTTTCCAAGTAGTTCTGTAGCCTTCAGTGCCTAAAATCCCATCAAGTGAACAGTAAGTAAAATACTTTCTCAGGCAGCCTGTTGATTTTCTGGTAGGATCAGGTTGACATGTTGATTGTTAGATGAGTGCATGAGAAAAGAAATAAAGCATAGTGGAACCAACAGGTAATCTGAGGTAGGACAGTGCACCTCCTTGACATCTCTGAGGCTGGAGGAACCCTACAATAGCAGCACATTCAGGAAATCAGTTATCTCAAAATTATCAGTTCCCAGCACCATGGAAAAATTCTGGGGGCTTTCCAATCTGCCATAAGCTCTTTATTGCATGTGTCTAAGATATAGTTCAAATGTATGACACAAGGCATGCTGAAAGGGAGTAATTGAAGTGAAGTTGTGATTGCTTAGTCTTATGCTGAATCCATTCCAGTCACACCACTCAAGTAAGAAGAAAGACCGGCCATTAAAATCCTTTTCCTAGGTGTGACACATTTGCTTACCTGTAAAACTGACTCTAGTAAGTCTAGCATTGCAACAAAACCCATAGTGAACTCACAGTGGCAGATGCTTACATTTTTGTATTGACAATGTTTACAGATTTTATCTTTGAATAAAGATTTTTTACTCCCTAAAATTTTATCTCTGTGTAATTGTATGAGAAACAAGGGGATTTGATTGAGAAACCACTAGTCACAATGGTGATGTTTTCTCTTTATTCAAATGAGCAAATCTACTAAATCATTAATTTGAAAATATGTTTTTCTCTTTTATTATTTCATTACTATCCTATATCTTGGATACATTGCTCATGTTTGGCATTCCATAATTCCCCAGTGTCAGAAATGTACATATGAGTTCACATTTTTGTTAGCAATTTATTTTATAAGCTTTTTAATATTGTATAATTTTTAATCTAAAATGTAGAAAGAATATTATGTTTATATACAAATGGATAAATTATTACCAGTGGAAATTTAAGCCACAATGCAACTATTTTAGTAACAATGCAGAATAAAATCATAGTTTGATGAACTATAATTTTAAAATGTAAAGTCTATAAAACTTTCAAGATGTTTTGCCTATTTGTTTTTAATATTTATAATAATTTTCTACTTTAGCAATTATCTATTTTTTGTCAAGCCAGGTAGCTACTTTCTTTGAACTGTATTATACTCTCAGACCCTTATCCTGCCTAGAAATGAATAAATAATAAATAGCTTTATTCTGTATTTAGTTACTTTTTTATTTTTATAGTAAAATATTCTTATGGGGATTAGTTTGAAATAATTTTGGTAATTTCTTTTAAAATGTCAACAAAAGAGTTTCAGACCATCCAGTTGAACACAGAATTTATTTATTTACATTGGAGAGGAGAAACATGCCATAAGTTTAAGTGTGTGTGTACATGCATGTATAAAAGAGCATTGGTATTTTTTTCCAAATGTATAGTTTTATTTCACAAGACCAATTTTCTTCTGTTTCATATATCAATAATCTCCACATTTTGACTATGAGAACTTCTGCTTCTTTATCAAGTACCATGGCAACCTCATCTAAAATAATTTGAAGTGAACTGTGAGCGATAATCTTAGAACACATGAAATCAACGAATGTAGCTCCTTTTTCACCTGTGTATTCTATGATTTTCTTACTAATCCATGTTCTAATTCGTCATTCTGTCAATAGACCAATCCAGGAGATAAGCAAAGAGCTTGGGTTTGGCTGTAGGGATTTTCTCAATGAGACTCTTAACGTGGTTATGCTTCTCTTCAGTGTTTACAGTGCCTTTGGCAGCGTTTTTATCATCCTCACAGTAATCCAGGGGAATCAGTTTCCTCTTTCATGGTGTATCATCACTGCTTCATCCTCATATTTGTTAAAAACACTCTCTACCGGAAGTTTCTTTCCCTTCACAGAATGAGGCTGACCCCATTTAAGACTTAGTGCTATTTTTGGTCTCTGCGCTTCAGGTTGTTGTTGGTCTGGAGACTTTTCATGAGGAATAATAATACCACAGGGAGACTCCTCCCCAAGAACGTTGGGGGTTGCATTGCCACCGGCAGAGGACACGGATGGGGCAGAGCCGATGGCCTCAGAGTTGGTTTGAGACAGACCTTCGCTCTGGCTCTTCCTCTTCCATGGGTTCCTCTCATTTTTCTTGCTCTTCTTCCTCATCCTCTGGTTCTGGTTCTTGCTTTACATGTACTTGTCCGCATCCTCTCAGCCTCTTGTTCCAGCCTCTGGAGCTCTGCATCTGGATCCAGAAGTGCTACCTGATCTCTAGTTCTTCCTTCTCTCTCCTCGGTCCCATTCATCTGCTTCCATTTCCTTTTCCCTGTCGTGCCCCCTTTGCTGAAGAACACTTCCTCTGTGATATTTGGGGTCATCTATGTCTTCATAATCTAAGAATTATTTTAGTCCTTTAGCTTCTTTTGCCATTTCTCTTCTCTCTTCTCTTTGAGCCTCTTTCTCATGCTCCCAGGTTTTCTTCTGGTCTCTGCTTTCCCAGTTCTGAAGGCACTCTTGGTAAGAAGCTTCTTTCTCAGACTTTTTGTTCAGGTTTTCTTTGTTCATCTTCATCTTCTTCATCCTCTTCGTAGTCCTGCTTCTTGTCTTCTCTGCCCCCCATTCACATTCTTTCTTGTCCTCATTCCCTTTCATGATCTCTGCTCTTTCCTCTCCATCAACTGCCATCCTTATTCCGATTTGAGCTCCTTTCCCAATAGCAGTCATGATCCCTGTCCCATTGTCCTTCTTGCTCCCATTCCTTCTTTGGTTCACGTTCTCTCCCTTTCCCATTCCCATTCTCACCTTTCTTGTTCCCGTTTACATCCCTTCTCTCTTCCTCTCTGTCCTTTATCAGTATCCTGTCTCTTTTAACATTTCCTTGTTGCCTTTCTCCCAGTTCCTTGTGTGTGTCTCTGAATTTCCTGATTTCTCGGGATATCAGGTCTCTTTTGTCTTCTTCCATTTCTATAGCCATTATATCCTCCTTAGTGGTAAGTGGATAATTGATCAGTGGAGCCACTAGAAGTGTGTGGAAACTGTCCTCCTCCTTTTCTTCTTCTTCTTGGGATGAGAGTCAGATTCTTGTGGGGGGGGCATTGAGTTCACTGGAGTATTCATGTATTAAAATTTCAAAGGCACCTTTGATCATCTGATCTCTTTTGTTTCTTCCTCTGAGACTTCTTATCATTAGTGACAGTTCCTGGCCTGGCATTCCCATTAGAAGCTTTCTTCTTTTCTTTCCAAATTCACCCAGTTGTGCCTTTGTCCTTGCATCAACTTTAACAAGTAGCTTCTGCTCTCCAATCTTCAGGTCATGCCATAACCTGAGTGCACAGGGGTAGATTCAGGCTCCTTGTACCCATAGAATCCGAAGGCTTGAAGTTTTCCAGATGCACCTTGTACTCTTCCAGCTCAAAACCAAGCCACATTTAGCAAGGAGTTATCTTATAAGCATGTCTGAAGCTTTCTCAGAAATGTCACCAACAAAAGTTGTAGTGTTAGGACCACAATTTTCATCATTTTCCTTAGTCTTTAAGGCTGGATGATTCTTTCATGTTCCCAGATGCTTTCCAACCATGGACACAGTGGCTGCTAAGACGGGTGGAGCGGCAGCTGTAATGCTCCTTGGTACAGGAGTCACTGAGGCCCCTACAGGCACAGGTGGAGGCGAGTCAGGAAACCATGGGGGTCAGATCCCTGATGGGAGTGCTGGGATTCCCGTGGGAGAGGGCTTCAAATGAGGGAGGAAAGACATTCATAGGCAGCAGTCTGCCACCGAGGCAATGGTACTGTCTTCACAGCTTCTGGGCTCCGGGTTATGAGTGGGCTCCCCCGGTTCCAGGTTTCTGCGTGCGGCTTACCAGGGGACTAGTTCCAAAGTGCCTCCTCACGCAGGCTGCAAACACAAGCACACTGTGCGGGGAGCTTCTGGAGCATTGCTGTTCAAAGGAGCAGGCCCAAGTGCGGGAAGAATGAGCCGTGGAGATATGGCGGTTTACATCCAGACCCTGTATATTGATGTCAGTAAACTTGGCACCTTGTTTCTCTTGGGTCAGAGAAGATGCCATCAGACTATGATTTTGAATTGCTTTCCCTCCTTTTCTTCATAATCTGGTATTTTAAAATATACAGTAAAAAGGTGTTTATATCCAATAAGTACTGTGATGAGCTTAGCAGTAACATTCAAATGCTGACTTTTCTTAGTTGTTACATTTTTTTTTTTTAAAGATTTTATTTTTAAGTAATCTCTGCATCCAACGTGGAGCTCAAACTCACAACCCAGAGATCAGGAGTCGCATGCTCTACCAACTGAGCCAGCCAGGCATCCTTCAGTTGTTATATTTTAACAAAATTCTGTCAGTCAACATACTACTAGTAGTCAGCTTTACATACTGTTTAAAATAGTCCTTGAAGGAAACAAAAAAATCAAAATATGCAGTCTCTTTTTAGAGATTTAATATATTTATTTGGGTTTGTGGCAATATTTTGTGCCCTATTTTAAAAGATTGCTAGGATATATGGATATATAGATATATATGCGGTTGATAATTAAATTTGTTTTCAGACTTTCCCCCAAATGCCTTGAGATAATAGGTGACAATATGAAATGTTACCAAATCAGAGTTCAGTCATGTCCCTTGGAAAGTTACTTAACTTTTTGGGCTTCATTTGCCTCATTTGTATGAATGGTCATATCTCTTTTATAAGCTTGTGTAAGGATTACATTATATGAAAAGTGACTAGCATAGTGTTTAGTTCACAGTAAATGCTTAATAAATGTTCTCATTCTTCTTCCTTCTGAAAATAATACTGTCTAAATCAAATAGTGCAGCATGTTCGGTACAACAAAGCATTTGACCACATGTTTATTTTTTCATTCCCTAAACATTACTTATGAGGAAAGCAGCTATGCTCTCATTTTTATTTTATAACTAGTAAATGTAAACATGGCCAGCTTTATTTTTATATAACTTGAAACTAAAGCTTTCAAAAACTGAAAACAAGACAAAAAACCACTCACCCTAGCTTCCTCTTCCTGTCTGGTTTAAACCTAATTGATGGTCATGACGGCATATGGGCCTTTCCAGGTATCTTCTCAGCTTATCTGCCTCTGCTTCCCTCCTCTTCCAACCAGACGTATATCCTACCCATTGTTCCTTAGATACGCCTCACGTTTTACTGCCTTCTTGATGTTCCTACTCTCCCTCATCTTAGCCTATCAAAATCTGACTCATTTTTCAAAGCCTGTACCTTGGATAGTTGTCAGAGCGTTGTCCACTCTCAGGGGAGTCCCCACAAAAGAGGGTCCACATGGTCAAACCTATGTGCATAACGCTAAGACATCAACTTCCTTTTTCACTGTGTTGACATCGATTCTGACAGTGCAAATGTGGATCCACCTGCTGGCACCTTACTGAATGTGATTCAAGGTAGTAGCATGGGCACTTGGCAGTAGAAAAAGCCACTTTTACTTAAGAATGTCCTTGAAAAAGACAGTAAAAATTACTTTTAATCAGGGCCTTCAAGAACATATCTTTTTCGTATGCTGTGTGGCTAAATGGGGACTACACAAAAAGCACTTGTGCAGTGGAGTTGTGAACTGAACAAACCACTTTTTTCATGGAATTCATTTTTGCATGAAAGAAGAACAAACTGTACATATTCAGACTTGAATATTGGGCATCCATTTTCTCGAAAATTAACTAAGTGAGTCACATCCAGGAAAATAACTGACAGTGTTTTTGCCAATGATAAAAATTCAAGTCTTCAAGCAAAAATAAGAATTCTGGAAAATGTATCAACCACTTTGAGTCTGACATCCTCCCCAGTACTTAAAAGATTTTCCTGACGAGACTAGTGGTGATATGAACCAGTGATTTTTTTTTCCATTCTATTATATAGTGAAATGTGAAAATATTTGGAAGATCTGTATAATTCAACAGATCAGCATTGCTAAATGACCAATGCATGATATTACAAAACTATGCATTTAAAATGCAAGATAGACCAATGGATTTTAATGAAACAGAATACTAATGTTCATTGATATGATTTCAGTTTCCACAGTGCAACTAACTTTTAAGAAACTAGCACTTTCCAAGTTTTGATGTAGTATTGAAGAAGAGCCACAGGTATCTGCAAAGACTATTAAAATACTCTTCCCTTTCCCAACTACATGTCTGCATGAGGCTGAATTTTCTTCTAAGGCTTCACCCAAAAC